GCAGGTCGGGACTCCGCACTCGCTTCGCACTGAAAGTGCGTCTCAGTCACACACACTCACTCGAGTCTCCACCGAACCCCAAGGCAAGAATTAAATTCCCTTACCTTGGTCCGTACACGAAGTTACCGGGTCACAATGGCCAATACCTGTGCCTTCCTGCCCCTTGGCTTTCACAGAGCCTGTCCTTTATGAAACAGTCTCGGTTTTTTATCGGCCGTACCAAGGAGTCACCCTACCACCCAGACAGGACCGCTGAAATCAGCGGGGTGCACCTATCCTGTGCAGGGCAGTAGGAAAACTCTCAAAGAGGCGATAATAATCCCGGACGAGCCCCCAAATTGTTGGAAATAATCCAAGTAATTTTTTTTTCAGGACGGTATCTCTGATAAAAGCAGAATTTATTCGCGATTGCAATGGCGGGCGTCCCACAAGTAGGAGCGCCTATGGACACAACATGACAGCCTTTATACCCTGTTGTCTCCCCTTTGCCTCCCCCCCCTCCCCTGTTTCCCCACTGGCTGGGTACTCCAGGTTCACAATCTTATCAGAAGGTTTACATTTGCTGTTTACTTGTTAGTTTATTTGTTATCTGGTGTCAGTTGATAGTCATCCTGTTGTCTCCAAGATGTCTCGGTGCTCTCCTTGTCCTATTGATATGGTAATTTTCTTTGAAGTCATCATCGTTAAACAAAGAGCACTGGAGGATGATGTCAGGCCTTCCCAATGTCAGGCGCTTCCTCGGGTATGCCATGGCTTGTTTCCTGGTTTGCTCTCCTGCAGGATATTCTTGGAGTGTGTATACAGAGTGTGCGTTCCTGGGAAGGTTCGTCTATACAATAAGTGATCTAAACTTATTAGAGATTCTCCCCAGGCTAAGTAGAAGGACTCCCAAAAAGAACCACGACAGCGGAGATCATAAAACAAAAATAACATTATACAATTCTAATGCAGAAACAACATCTGTTTCCCACAATTTCCCTCTTTTCTTTTTTTTTTTACACTGTTGATTTCTGCAAATTTTTGTTCTTTAAGGCATTATCGTATACATTTCCTCCTCTTCTTCACTTTCCTCATTCCCCATTTCCTCTAATACCATCATTTTATTCGAATACAATGGTGGCTCCATTAGCGTTTGTTTTAATAGTGCTGTTTCAATCAATCGCTGTACCAATCCTCTCACACAGGGGATGACACAGCACCCAATAGTCACCAGGGCTCCTGCTACTGTAATCAGAGAGGTAAATATTGATATAATTGCCCCTTTCCATTTACCAAACCAGGAATCCACCCATCCACTGATAGAGGTATCTATTCCTGAATTCTCTGCCAATTCATCAGCAAGAGTGGTAAGTCCTTGCAATGCCTTAGTTATTGTGCCGTCTGGGGCTGTGTTATTGGGGATGAAAGTGCAGCAGCGAGTACCTAACATTACACATACACCTCCTTTTTCTGCTAGCATCATATCTAGAGCAATCCTATTTTCCCAGGCCATCTTACTTGTGGCATCTAATTGTTCTGCAATTCCCTTAATGGCACTTTTTGTATAATTTATAAATCGCTGTTGATTATAATAGATGTAATTAATCCAGTCTACATTTTTGTTAATTGTTACCCACCAAAACAGTGACTCAAACCCTGCAACAATTTGATTTCTTGCCTTAAATTCATCAGGGACACCCCTAGGCACTCCAATTGGATCTATATATATTGAGTCATCAAATGATACTCCTAAGCTTCTTTTGTTTCTTCCAGGATTTTGGGAGACTCCTTTTTCAAATGCCAGGGTGAATGGTATAACTAATTGAACAAGTGCACAGGTGCCTCCCCAATTGGATGGGAGAGTGGACCGTAAGACCTTCCCCCCGCAATACCACCAGAGGTCCGCCCTGGGGATTCCTAATCTGGAATAGTTCCCTGCCAAATCTTTCGTAACATTCAAGACCTCACTGCATAGGGAAAAGTTCCCTATAAGCCTGGTAGCCTTTACACCCTGCCGTGAGAGGCAGGCTGTATGATTACCTATGGCTGTGGAGAATGTAGGAGGGATCTGGACATCTGTCTCAGACATTGGAGGGAACAAGAGAGAGAGAGATTTGCAGGCTTCATTTCCCCAGGCGGTTTTCTCCTGGTACAGGGCAATTATGCATTGCATCCCCTGGGGATCCTTGGTCCATCCCAGAGAAAAGGGCACCACCTGAGCTATAGGCCATCCAGATGCACAAGCATAGCAGTTGCTATGGTTGAGACTCTGGACAGTATACTTAATCCATTCTACCCAGGCATTAGCATCCCCATATCCTGTTTCAATTTCAAATGTTTGTCTAAGATCTTTTATCTCTTTAACTGTCACAATTGTGGGGTTTTTAGGAATATTTTTCACCCCCTCATTGAGTTTTTCCTCATTCTGGACACTCAGGGTGTCATCCGGGAGTATATCCCATACGGCTATCCGGAATCTAGCTGTTGGATCTTTTCCACGTATGTCTATCCCAAGTCCAAAGGTGATATTAACAAGATTATCAGCCTCGTTAATTGTTATTGTCACTGGATTGCATTGTAAGGGCTGACAGTTTGGTTGGGCAGTTCCTTTAAAGATGCTTATTCGATCTTTTAATGTATGTGCCCATGGAGCATCAAATATCCCAGGTATATATGTCCAACCTCGATAGGTGGTTGTCCACCATACATTATTCCATCCATTACAAGGGAATCCTTTATTCATACCCAGTTAGGGACAGAGATATTTATTTTCACTACTTAGTTGTCGTTGAGTATTCAAACTTCCACAGGCTATTACCTGGCAAGCATCAAATGTGACAGTCTGGGGTACTTTCTTTCTTGTAACATTTACCCAAATCTTAATAGGGTATCCCCCTAATCCTCTCTGAAAGTCATCCTTTTTCCAAGCCATCACTTGACTAAGGCTTTCCCTAAAACAAGTCGTTATCAAGATCAAAATAACAAGTGGGTTCTTCCCCAGCATTGTTGTCAAACCTTATGTTTTCCTAATAATTACAAAGATAACAAATGGGATATACTCTGTTACAACAGTACATTAATTCTATACAGGCTTTACTACTAAAAATTCTTTCTAGACATTAATTCTATGCAAGCATTACTACTCTCCCACTTACATATACTATTTATTTAATTACTTGAGAAGTTAAAGATTAGTTTAAAATGACTTCACAATTCCCTCCTCCTAATTCTTATCTTTAAAGGTTCTTCTGTGACAATGGCTTCCCATGCCTCAGGGCTAGTGGATGCTTTTACCCGAGTGTAGTGAGTCCATCCCTTTTCAGCAGTTCTCACAGCTGTTTCAGTCATTAGAAGTACTTGAAATGGTCCTTCCCAGTCAGGCTGTAGTTTTGTCTCCTTCCACGTCTTGATCAGGACCCAGTCCCCTGCTTGAAATTGATGAACTGGAAATTCCAAAGGCGGTGTTTGTGCTAATAGTCCTTGGACTCTGAGAGCTGATAAGGAGGATGATAACCCGAGTATATAGTTTTTAAGAAATGCATCTTTAGTTTCAAACTGTGGTATCTCATTTTTCTTTCCCAGATATGGCAATCCAAACAACATTTCATATGGAGAAACCCCCACATCTTTTCTTGGTGCTGTCCTTATTTGGAGAAGTGCCAAGGGCAAACATTTGGTCCAAGGCAGTCGAGTCTCCAAGACTAACTTAGTTAGGTGTCTTTTTATGGTCTGATTCATTCGTTCCACTTTCCCTGATGATGGAGGATGCCACGGGGTATGAAACTCCCACTTAATCTCTAGAGTATGCATTAGTTTCCGTAAAATTTGTGATGTAAAATGACTACCTTGATCTGAATCAATGTGCTCTACTACTCCATATCTAGGGATTATTTGTTCCAAAATTACCTTGGTTACCATATTTGCAGTGGCAGATACTGATGGAAATGCTTCCACCCACCCAGTTAAGTGATCTACTAGAACCAGTAAGTATTTTACCCTACCCACTTTGGGAAGTTCTGTAAAGTCTACTTGAATACTTTGGAAAGGTCTAATCCCTGGTTCCCTTCCCCCTGCAGACCAACTACGAATGACCTTGTTATTTACCCTCCGGCATGTTGCACACCCTCTACAGACCTGTTTAGCCAGTGTGTACATCCCTGCACATACATATTTCCTTAGTACAGCATCACACATAGCCTGTACTCCCCAGTGACTCCCTTGATGCAAGATGGTTAAAATCTCCCTTGTTACTGCTTTGTTTAACAATTCTCTCCCATCTGGAAGGATACATCTCCCTTCAGATTCTATGGCCCCCAAATCCCTAAAAGTGTCTTTTTCTTTTTCACTGAATACCTGCCCTGGGGAAGGAGGAGGTATCTCAGGCACAAGATAGTTCATGATAATTTTTGACTGTAAAGCAGCTTCACGGGCTGTTTTATCTGCTATTCGGTTTCCCTGAGCAATAATTGAATTCCCCTTCTGATGTCCTTTTATATGCACTACTGCAATTTCAGTGGGTAATAGTAAATTTTCCAGGATTTGTCTGATCAGTGCTTCATGAACCAATTCCTTTCCTTTACTATTGATTAGTCCTCGTTCCTCCCAAATTTTTCCAAAGGAATGTACCACTCCATACGCATATCTTGAGTCTGTGAATATAGTTCCCTCCTCTCCTTTAAGGAGGTTAAGGGCTCGATTCAGGGCATATAATTCACATGTCTGAGCTGACCAATTACTAGGCAGCTGGCCCATCTCTCTTACCTCCCCTTCTGCCCCCTGTACTATGGCATACCCATTGTACCTTTTTCCATGCACCACCCTTGAGGATCCATCAATAAACAAAAGCTTTCCTTCACCAAGAGGAGTGTCTTGCAGGTCAGGTCTTACTTTTGTCTGATATTCAATTAAATCCAGACAATTATGTTCTATATTTTCCTCTTTTTCTTCCCACTTCCACAAGAAAGTGGCTGGGTTTAAGCAAGATTTAGTGATAAACACTAAATCATTTTTTTCCATCAAGATTACTTCATACTTCAGAATTCTAGAGTCAGTTAACCACCTCCCAGCTTTCTGAGTTAAAATGGTTTTCACCTGATGTGGAGTCGTAACCACTAGTTGTCTCCCAAAAGTAAGTTTTCTGCTCTCCTCCACCAGGAGGGCAGTTGCTGCTACAGATTGGATACACTCTGGCCATCCCCGAGACACTGGATCCAGCAGTTTAGATAGATAGGCCACCGGCTGGCGCTTATCTCCCCATTCCTGAGTTAGCACTCCCAAAGCTGCCCCCTTATCTACAGTGACCAATAATTGGAAGGGTTTATTTAAGGCAGGAAGAGCTAAGACTGGAGCAGTAATTAAACTTTGTTTTAGCTCTTTTATTAATTCCCTTTCCTCAACAGTCCATTCAAGGATGTTAAGCTCTCCATCTAATAATTTAAGATACAATCCTCTGGTTTTCTGAGCATATGACTCTATCCAGAGTCTGCAGTATCCTACTACCCCTAGGAATTTCCTCAATTCCCTCTTTGTTTTGGGCAAGGGTAGCTCGATAATTCCTTGAATCCTTTCTGGGGTTACTTTGCGCTTTCCTTCAGAGACTAGGTGTCCCAAATACCTAACTTCTTTTTCTACGTACTGCAGCTTATCCTTTGATACTCTCAATCCTTGCTTCCCTAGAAAATTTAGCAGCTCGTTTGTGGCTCTTTTAACTTCTGCTTCTTCTAGTCCTGACAATAAGAGATCATCTACATATTGTAGGAGTAACACTCCTTCTGGTGGCTGGAATTGTTCTAATATTTGTTTCAAAATTTGCCCAAACAAATTTGGTGATTCTGTGAAGAACCCCTGGGGTAGGACTGTCCACCGATACTGCTGTTTCCGCCCACTTTCAGGATCTTCCCATTCGAAGGCAAATATGTCTCTGCTTTCGTGATCCAGTGGAACAGACCAAAAGGCATCTTTCAAATCTATAACACTAAACCACCTATTTTCATTTGGTATTTTACTCATCAAGGTATATGGGTTTGGAACCACTGGATGCCGTTTTTGTACTATTTCATTAATTTTTCTCAAGTCTTGCACTAATCGGTAGGAACCATCAGGTTTCCTGACTGGTAAAATGGGGGTATTGAAGGGTGACATACATGGTTCCAACAATCCATCCCTTAGTAATCCCTGTATCACAGTTTTAAGGCCAATACGTTCCTCAAATGGAATTGGGTATTGTCTCTGTCTTATAATCTCATATTTTTCTTGTAATTTTATTTTCAAAGGGGTTATTCTTAGCCCCCCCCTATTTCCTTCTTTTACCCAGACCACAGGGTCTATTTCTCTCTCATCTACCTCAGTTAATATATTCATTGAGACAGTTATTCCGTCTTGGTGGGTTGCTATTTGAATTCCTAATTTCATCATAAGATCTCTTCCCAGCAGGTTAGTCCCTGCATCAGGCACATACAATAATTGTCCTGTTATAACCCTATCACCTAGTTTTAATTCAGTATTTTCAAAAAGTGGTACTGTCATCCCAGTTCCCTCTACCCCTGTTATTCTTAGAGTCTCATTTGTCAGTTTGAGTCCTGACACCTTGTGGGCCAGTGATGATCGAGCTGCCCCAGTATCAACTAAAAATACAACATCTTCCATCTCAGGTCCCACTCTCATATTTACTAGGGGCTCCTGGTGGGACCAAATTTTTGAAAGCCCCAGACTCCCCTATTCTGAATTCAAAGCTGCTAGTAACTTTTTCTCCTGTTTCCACTCAGGACAGTTTCTTTTTATGTGTCCTGGTTTACCGCATTTAAAACATTTCCCAGCACTTTGCTCCAGCTGAGACCTTACTTGATATCTTTGGGATCCTTCCTCTCTTCGCTTCCCTCCAGGGCCTAATCTCCCTCCCACGTTCTTTTCTCCATTACCCATTTGGTTTTTTTTCACCACTTGTTCCACCATGGAAACCATTAACTTAGCTTTTTGTTTCTCTTTCTCATTCTCCCTTCTAACATACACTTTCTGAGCTTCTCGCAGTAACTCCTCCAGGGACTTTTCACTCCATCCCTCTATCTTCTGAAGCTTCTTTTGCACATCTGGCCACGCCTTAGTTACAAAATTAACTTTTAGAAGCCCCTGGGCTACAGGATCCTCAGGATTCATTCCTGAGTATTTTCTCATTCTGTCTCTAAGTCTTTCAAGAAATTCACTGGGGGATTCTTCCTTATTCTGCTGAACCTCAAATGCCTTGGTAAAATTCTGGGACTTGGGTACTGCCTCTCTAATCCCGGTGATTATTATGTCCCGCAAGTCTTTCATATTTTGCCGATGTTGTGGATTATTACTGTCCCAGTTAGGGTCTTCCACTGGATATTTTTGCTCTGCTGGTATCACCCCAGGACGCCCAGGCGGGTTATTCCTTTCCCATTCTTGCATAGCTGCCCGCCTAATCATACCTCTTTCCTCTCCTGTAAACAATATACCCATAATAGACATCATTTCCATCCATGAGTATAAATTTGGCCCCAGAAATTGATCTAATTGCTCCGCTACTCCTATAGGATCCTCAGCTAAGGATTTCATCTCCTTCTTAAAATTCCTCACTTCTCCACTAGTGAGTGGGAATTTACATAACCTATTTCCCCTTGTCCCAGTGGAACTTCCCATAAGGGATACATGGGGAAGTTAATATGGTTAGTTTTAGGGAAAGGAAAATTTTCAATATCTTTTTTGCATTGTTCTAATTCTTTCCTG